GGGGGGGGGAGCGGGGAAGCCGTTGCGCACCCCGCGCGGTGCCGGTGGCGGTGCCGGTTCGGTGCCGGTTCGGTGCCGGTTCGGTGCAGGCCCGCAGTGACGCCGCAGCCGGTGGAGCTCGGCCGCCGCCCGGTGCCCCCCCTCGGCACGGCCTCCCGCCGCACGCAGCGGCCCCAGCCCGCCCCCACCGGGCGGAGCGCCCCGGCACGGCTCCGCTCCCCGCAGCTCTCCCGCAGCCCCGCGCTGCCCTTGCCCTGCGGTCGGCCCCTCCTGCACCGCATCCCTGCCCCCATCCCACCCCATTCCATCCCCGTCCCCGTCCCGCACCCCATCCCCATCCGCATCCCCATCCGCATCCCCATCCCTACCCCCATCCCTACCCCTATCCCTATCCCTTCCCACCCTCGTACCCCCATCCCTGCACCTGATCCCATCCCCACTCCCGCTCTCTCACACCCCACACCCTACCGCTGTATGGAAGAGGTCCCACACCCCACTCTCTCCCCCTCCCCTGCTCCCATCCCTGCCCCATGTCCCCTTCTCAGCATCAGTCTCAGCCACGCGTGGCTTCACCCCAGCGCTGTTGGTGGCACTGGGGACAGAGGGACACGACCCGAGGAGATGGCAAGGACAGAAGCGACCACACAGAGATCCCAAATGACCACATTTATTAGGCAAAAAAAAAAAGATACCCGATTATGACACATCTGCACTGCAGACCCTTCAGGGGTCACCGGTGACATGGGACAGCGTAAGGAGCCAGCCCTGCCCACCCCACCCCACAGCTGTGCCCCCATCCCCTATCCCAAGCCCCCAGGGGTGCATGACGGCTGTGTCCCCACTGTCCCCATTGCCCTGGGCCAGCCAGGCCGTGCCCCGTGGGGTTGGGGGCCACCTCACACCTGTGTGATGATCTCGCCGTTCTCAGGCACGTAGACCTGCACAGGCACGCCGGGCGGGGAGCGCCGCAGGATGCGGATCGGGGCTGCCTGAGTGGGAGAAGGGACCCGTGGGTGCTGGGACCCCACCCCGTGCCCTGGGGACACGGCCCCACTGGGAAGTAGTGGGGGCTGTCCCAACCTGCCCCACATCAGTACTGCTGTCGGGGCCCTGGAGGTGGCCATAGGGACCCCATCCTCCCCCAAATGGCCACGTTCTGGCTCCAAAACATCCACGAGGTGCCAGCGCTGGCAGTGGGACCCGAACCTTACCCTAGGGACCCCCCTGAGATCCCCTTAAAACCAGCTCCTGCCCCAATGACCTTCCCACCTCTATCCCACGGACCCTCGTGGGGCCCAACACTGCCCCAGGGACCATTACAGGTCCCCAGTTCTGTCCCAGGGGCACCTCAGGACCTCATGCTCAGGACACCCTCATGGAGCCTCACCAGAACCACAGCTCATGTCACCCCCACACCCACAGGGCAGCACTCAGGGGGTCCCACAAAGTGACAGCCATCCCATCGCCCCCCACCACCCACTCCATCCCATCCCCACCCATCTCCCCCAGCCACCCAACCCTCCCCATCCTCGTGCCTCACCTGAGCCCGCAGCGGTGCCCCACGGACGGGGGGCCCATCCTGGGGGTTCCCACAGCGGTGTCCCCGAAAGGCCCCCTGTCTGTCGAGGGAATGAGGCCGGGCTCCCCGCAGCCGGGCACGTTGGTGCCACGATTTGAGCTCCTCTGTCACCGCCGCTTTGGAGAGCCCACGGGACCCCCCTGGCACGTAGTCCTTAAGTGAGGGGGTGCGCACGATGCGGCTGTGCGAGGGCACCAGGCGTTGGTAGCGCAGCGGGGCCAGGTCCTGCTCATAGAGGAACACCGGGGGGCCGGGGGGTGGCAGGAGCCGGGGGGCTCCGCGGGGGTAGAAAGTGGGTTCGGTGCAGGGTGGTGGGGCTGGGGGACGTGGGAAGGAGACGTCGGGGCTGCTGCTGCCCGGGGAGGTGGCGTGGGAGACGCTGGAGACGTCGGAGATGCTGTCGTCGGAGCCGGAGCGCGGTGTGGGGCTGGGGGCTGGGGGGCAGGAGGTGGGCACTGTCACTGTGTAGTACGTGGGGCGGCGGCGGGGGGCTGTGCTGCGGCCCCGCATCTCACCCGGCTCCCAGCGTGAGTCCACCCTGCGGGACAAAGGGTTGGTTTCATCTTTCTCCCCCCCAGAAGTATCACCATCCTCCTCCTCGTAGGGCCATCTCCATTACCTTCGTGGGGTTAGCTCCACCTTCTCCATGGGGCTTTCTCCTCTCCATGGGGTCTACTAGACCCATCCTCCCTTCCGTGGGTTTATCTCTTTCCTCACCCCATGGGTCATCTCTATCTTCCCTTGGGTTATCTCTATCATCCTGTGGCTTATCATCTCCAACCTCTCCACGAGCTGCCTCTACCCACCCTATGAGTTTATCATCTCCAACCTGCCCACGAATTGTCCCCATCCTCCCTATGGGTTATCTCCCACCTCCCCATGGGTGCCAGCAGCCCGTCCCCGCTCACAGCACAGCCGTACCTCAGGGACTGGCACTGTCCACGTCGGATCGCTGGCTCTGGGGTGCTGGGAGCACTGGATCCCATCTGCCTGCACAGCACCACGCTCCGGATGGGGATGAAGCGATACGGGGCCACATCCCCAGCCCTGCAGTCAGGGCTGATGGGGACAGAGGTGACAGCTGGTGGGGACGTGGGGCGGCACCGGGACGCGCGGGTTTCCCCATCCCCAGGCTCAGCACTGATGTTCTTGGCCTTCCCATAGGGTCCATCGAGGCTGGTCTCCCTCCAGGGGCCGGGGGGTGCAGAGGGGCACCCCGGATCCTCACTCTGCTCCTCAGGAGCCAAGCGGGGCCACGGGCACGGAGATGGAAGGCGCTGCGGGGTGCCGGCTCCCATCGGCTGTGCCTCCTCTGCAGGACAGATGGAGCGTTGTGGTGGGGAGGGGCGGGACGCGTCCCCCGTACCCACAGCCCTTACCCTCCTCCAGCAACGCAGCATCCGACAGCGAGCTCTCATCCGACGCGCTGAGCTCTGCGGGGACAGCGGTGCACAGCGATGTGCCACGGGGCACCGCGCTCCCACGGCCGCCACCCAATGCGTCCCCGCTCCCCTCCCCCGTCCTCCTGTCCCGACACGCTCAGGGACGGCGGCGGGACCGGCTGGTCCGGCTCAGAAGAGCGCTCCGGGCAGCTCCCAGCACCGCAGCCCTGCCCAGGCTCTGCCGTGGGAGTGGGGTGCAGCCCACAGCGGGGTGCAAACGCCGGGGAGAGAGCATTGGGGTGCGCGCATCGGGGCAGTGCAGTGTTGGGGTGTATCCACGAGGGTACAGCCAAGAAGGAAGAGGGCTGGGGCGCAGCCGTGGGGTTGGTGCATCCATCACTGATGGAGTTTTGGGGTTCGTTCACAGGGGTGGCACATTGGGGTATGTTCCCCGTGGGCAGAGAGTGCACTGGGCTGCATCCACGAGGGATGGAGATTTGGGGTGCTCTCACCAGGCACCGTGTATCGGGGTGCACTCCTTGGGGTGGGAGATCGGGGTGCACCCACAGAGGAGCATTTTGGGGGGCACGCACCATGGGTGGCACAGCAGTGCACACGCACTGGGGACCCGCAGCTATGCACATCACTTCCCCCCCAGAAGGAAGCCCCTCCGTTCTCACCCTGAGCCCCCCCGGCGCCACCAGCAGACAGGGCCCGGCGCTCGGCCAGCAGGGTGTCCTCCAGCGCCTTCAGCTTCTGCTCCTCCTTCAATGCTGCCGTCTTCCTCCTGCGGCGCAGCTGTTTGCTGATGTTCTCCTCCCGGCACAGGCGATGTGCAGCTCTGGCAATCTGCATCTGCAGCGCCAGGTCCCGCTCCAGGGCGCCCAGTGGATCCTAGGGGTGGGGAAAAGGACACTTGGCACCTCCAAATCCCCCCCCACCCCGAGGACACTGCGCACCACAGGGCACTTTGCATTGCCGCACCCCCCTGCGCCCTTTGCAGTGCTCCTCCGTGGGGGTGGGGATGGTGAGGTGCCCCCCATAACTGCTCATCCCTTTGCAGGTGCCCCATGGGTGCAGCTCTCTGCCCCCCCCAGCCCCGCTCACCGCCCCACGCAGCACCAGGCTCTCATCCAGCTTGAAGGCTGCCCCGATCCTGCGCCGCACCTTGGGGGGCTTCTCACCAGCCTTCAGGGGGAACTCTTGGGGCAGCGTCCCCGTCAGCTCCTGGGGATGGGTGTGGGGACACTGAGCGGTGACTGGGGATGGGGAGGGGGGTTGGCAGGGTCCCCCCCGTCCCCAGACTCACCGCCTCACGCAGGCAGAGCCGCCGCAGCTCCTGCACACACAGCTCCAGTGCCTGCTGCTGCCTGCGCACCCGCTGTGCCAACTCCTTCAGCGGGGCTGTGGGGCTGCCGGGGCCTGGATGGGCAGATGGATGGACAGACAGATGGAGGTGCTGAGCTGTGGCCGGATCCCCATCCCTGCTTCCCACACCTCCTGAGTTCCTGGTTTTCCAGAGCTCTGTGCTGGGACGGGCGCTGCTGGACCCATGGGAGCTGCGCTCACCCCCCTCACGCAGCAGTGATTTCCCAGCACTGGAGGAGGTGCAGGGGGGACCATTTCACACTGACTCAGCCCAACCCGCAGTGAAACACCACTGAGTCACACTCAGACAGGGTCCCCTCTCTCTCCAAATGGGGAACGTCCATATTGCCCAACAGCAAATTCTCCCCCTCCAACGACAGCACCCCAGTTTGTCACCCCCGCCATGCCCCTAAATGCACCCCAGGAGAGGGCACCCATCACACCCTGGGATGCAAAGCCCCTTTTTGTCCCCCAGCGCTCACCCAAATGCAGCATGATCCCACTGTCCGAGTCGCCCGCCTCCTCCCTGCCCTCCATGCTGGGTACCTGCAGGGAGCAAGGCGAGGCCGTGTTTGCTTTGCCTTCTCGTAGGTCCTACGATAAACAAAGGTGTGCAAACACGTGTCTGGCAGCCCGGGCTGCTGGGCTGAGCCCCGTCCCAGGGGCAAAGGTGGTGGGGGTGCGGGGCTGGTTTCGCTGGGTGCCTCTCCCAGTTTTTATTTCTTTCCTGTCTGGGCCGCAGGCGTTTTCCTGGGGTGGGGGTGGGAAATGTGATCGTATCCCCCTGCCCGGCGTTCCCATCCCTTGGGGCCCAATGGGTGGGATGGGATGAGCCATGGGGTTGCATTGCCTTCACCCCCCGCTCCTCATGCTATGCCTCAATTTCTCTAGCAGGAAGGTGAGCACGGAGGGAAACAGAGGCAGAAAAGGGGCTGCCAGCACCGGTTACAGGGCAGCAGAAGGGCTGGGACCCCCATGGGCATGGGGTTCAGTGGGGCCAAGTGCTGCCTTACCTGGGTGCCAGCACGGCGGGGCCGTCAGCACGGTGCTCGCTGCTGCTCTGCTGCACCCGGGATGCAGGGACGTGTTTTGACTTGAGAGCAGGGGAGGAGCAGGTGAGCAACACAGCCCCTGCAGGGCCTGCATGGCGCGGCACAACCCGGCACAGCGTGGCGGGGAGGAGCGTGGCAAAGCGTGGCACAGTTTGGCATGGCACGGTGCAAAATGGCATGGCGTGGTGTGGTGGGGCACAGTTTGACACAGCACAGCATGGCTCCAGGCCCTTGGCAGTGTCCCTGTCGTGCCCGTGGCCCCAGGCTGGGGATGTCTGTACTGGAGGAGTAGGAATCCACCTCATCCCCAAAGCACAGCCACCGCTGTGCCTTCCCACATGGGGGCCTGTCCTGCCAGTCCCTGTCCGTGTTCCTGTCCCTGTCACTGTGCTCCATCCCCTCTCCCAGTTCTGGTCCCTCCCAGTCCTCCATTTTGTTGGAGGAAGCATTGACCCTCATCCTCCTCCAGGGACAGACGTGAGGATGGGAAGGGAGGAGGAAAGGGAAAAGGAAAGAGAAAGGGTGAGGAGCAAAGAAGGCAGCACCATGTTGTGCCACACTATGGATGGATGGAGGGGTGGACAGAGGGATGGAGGGATGGATGGAGGGATGGATGGATGGATGGATGGATGGATGGATGGATGGATGGATGGATGGATGGAGGGATGGATGGATGGATGGATGGAGGGATGGATGACCTCTGCTGCTGCCCATGCAGCTCCCACTGCTCAGCACAGTGCCAGGGTTACACCAACCTCACCACCTGGCTGGGAAACCCCTCATCTCCATGTACTGGTCCTGCCCCCATCTCCTGCTGTGGGTGAGGAGCAGCTCCTCGTGTGTCTCCTGGTGTCTCCAGGCCTCCCATTGGCTTGGCACTATCTTGGGCTGGATGGAAGGGCCGTGTGCAGGGTGGGGGAACTGCTCACATCACCCTCAGGAGTGAGAGCAGGGTCAGTGGGGAGGGGGCTGAAGGGCGTGGGGTCACTTGGCTTCAGGGCCACAGACAGGGAGGGTCAGCAGGAGCTCCTGAGCTCTCCTTGGAATGGCATCACATGGGGTTACCACGATGGAAGGGACAACCTGAGACACGGCCCCACGTGCTGTCCCTCCCACGGCACCGTTTGGTTGTCCCCAGCACCTCCCGGGCTCCTTATGCCCACGGCCACCCCGCACCCCCACCCCTCAGCGAGCACCAGCAGCGGGGTGGGGAAAACACGTTCGATAGGCGCTCGATTGAGGCCGCCTGCTCCTCGCGGCCCAACCCATCCTCCTCCCCGCCTCCATCGGCGCTCGGCTGCCCGCCCTGCAACTTCCGGTGTCGCGTTGGCGGAAGTACCCGTGCGCATGCGCAGTGTGCGCGGGGCCGGGGCCGCGCTGAGAGCCCCCCGGTGCCGCCATGACCAACGGTGAGTGGGGGGGGGGCGGGGGTCCCGGGAGGGCCGGGAAGGGGTGAGGGGTCGTTGCCCCGCGGGACGCAGCTGTGCCGCCCGCAGTGTATTCGCTGGACGGGCTGCTGGTGTTCGGGCTGCTGTTGGTGTGCACCTGCGCCTACCTGAGGAAGGTGCCGCGCCTGAGGGCCTGGCTGCTGTCTGAGAAACGCGGCCTGTGGGGCGTCGGCTACAAAGGTGAGGGGGGGTTGCGGGGGGGGCGGTGGTACGGGATGGGAGCGGAGCTGTCGGGTTCTGACGTAAAGGATGTGGGACCGGGATGGGAGCGTGGGGCTGGGCTGCGGGTGATGGAAGTGGGGTGTTGGGGTCTGGGAGGAGGAACGCGGGACACTGGGACCGGGATGGGGACGTGGGATGGGATGGGATGGGATGGGATGGGGATGGTGGTGGGGGGGCACGAGCTGGGCTTGGGCATGGAGTGGGGGTGGTGGCACTGGGGAATTGGTGGCATATGGAATGGGGGCGTGGTGGGTTTGACTTGGGGTACGAGATGGTGGGACCAGAATGGAGGGACAAAGGGGTCTGGGATGGGGGTGCAGAGCTGGGGTGGTGGCACGGGATGGGGACAGGACAGTGCTGGGTGCCGCCCAGCACAGCTCCCTGCTACCACTCTGCAGCTGCCGTCATTGGCACACGGCTGCATGTCCCCGTGGCCATCTCCTGCGTGCTGATGGCCTTCTACGTCCTCGTGGTGAAGTGAAGATTCAGCCAGGACCCCCCAGCTACTGCAGCCCGACTCTGAGTCCGCCTCGTCCCAGCGCCCACTGTGGGGCAGCACCAGGTGTCACCGTACACCATTACTTGTCGAGGGGCTTGACACCACCGGGAGATGGGAAGATCCCAGTGCCCGCCGGCCCCCTCCCCACGGCCAAGGGGTCCTGGGGGCTGGGCCGGCAGCCAAGGACCCTTCCTCGTGTGCGGGGCCGCGTTTTGGTGCCCCGGTGGCCGAGCGGCGGGGCTCGGCGTGCCAATAAACGCTCTCTATCCACCGCCACCTCCGCGCTCGCTATCGGGGCTGGGTGGGGGGGCGGCAACGCGGTCCTCCCTCCGGCAGGGGGCGCTGGGTGGAGGGGGCGGGGCCGGGCGGCACTTCCCAGCGTGCCCTGCGCGGAGGAGGGTATAAAAGGGCGGGACGGGGGAGGAACAAGCGGAGAGTGGTTGGCGCGCTGTGCGTGTGCGGGTGGGTGGGGGTGGTGTGCGTGGTGTGCGTGGTGCGTGGGTTTGTGTGCGTGGTGCGTGGGTTTGTGTGCGTGGTGCGAGCGCATGCCGCCCTCTCCCTACACATTGATCTTATTCGATCGGCCCCGGCCGAGATGAGAAGAACGGAGCCGCGAAGCCGCGGGCGCTGTGCGGCGGGCGGGCGGGATGAGTCGATCAGATAGGCGAGGCCTGGCCCCGGCCGGCCATTGAGCGCAGGCGATTCTGATCCGCCCGCCGCCCCCCAACCCCGCGGCCGCGCACTCAGCCCGGCTCCGCTCCGCGTTTTATTGCGGGGTCCTACGAGCAGAAGAAGCCGCCGTTCTTCTTCCGGGAGTAACCGCCGTTGGTGGCAGCGCTGTGCGGGCATTCTGCGGGGGGTGGAGAGGGGGCAGCGGCTCAGCGTGGTGCGGGCACAGCCAGCCCCCCGCCCCTTCCCCCCCACTGCCGTGTCCCGCTGCCCCCCCAAACCCGTGGCACACAGCCGTCCCGGTGTCCCGGTGTCCCGGTGTCCCGGTGTCCCGGTGTCCCGGGTGTCCCGGTGCCGTACCGATCCGTCCTTGGATCCGATGCACCGATTCCTTCCTGGGGCTCACCCAGCTCCGCGGCCACGGCTCCGGGGGCCGTTCCGGCTGTGGGGGGGCCCTGCACGGAGATTGATGCTCAGCCATCGCAACGGGAACGGGCCGGGGAAGGAACGCGTCGGACACTCACTGGTGGTCGCGGCTGCACCGCGCGGCCGCGGCGTGGAGGCGGCTCCAGGGCCGGGGGGGAGCCGGCGGGGTCGCGCCGCCGCCTGCCATAGCGGGTCCGGTGCTGCCTTCGTTGCCGGGGAACCGCCGCGGGGCGGAGCCGGGAGGGAGGGGGTGGCGGGGGGAGGGGTGCAGCTCTCGGGGTGATGCCCGGTGCCGGGGTCACGGCGACGGTCCCGGTGTGCGCTGCCCGGCTCCGTTTCCGGTGCCGAGACCGTTTCAAAGGGGTGACGCCCGGTGCCGCCCCCGAGGGCGATGCTCGGGTGCCGGTGCCGTTTCCAGGCGATGATGCCCGGTGCCGTTTCCGGTGCCGGTACCGGGGGCGCTTCCCGGGGGCGGGGCGGGGGCGGTGCAGGTGGCGGCAGGTGCGCGCGCGGGCCGGGCCGGGCCGTTGGCGGGGGGCGGGACCGCGGGGCCGGTGCCGGTGCCCGCGCGGGGCCGAGCGCTGCCGCCGCCGCTGCGCCATGGCCGGTGCTGGTACCGGTACCGCGGCCCGGCGGGCGCTGTTGGCTCTGTGCGTGGCCGCCGCCGCCGCCGTAGGGCTGTGCCGCGTCGGAGAGCGGCTGCACGTCTGCAAGGAGGTACCGGAGGGGTTACCGGGAGCGGGGAGGGGGGCCGGGGGGTGCCGGTGCTGTCGGGATGGAGCTGAGCGCCGCACGCTGAGGGATGCGGTGCGGGGTTATCGCCGCGCCCCACGCGTGGTCGCGTCCGTGGGGCCGTGCCCGGGGTCAGCAGCCCCCCGCTGGGGGTCCCGGTGTGGGGCTGCGCTGTGCTCCGTCCGCGTGTCCGCCACCCCGAGCCCCGGCGGGACAGCGGTTAACGGTGACGGCGGCGGGGACCGTGAGAACAGCGCCGGGCCGGGGGATCGCTGCTGGGGGGGCCGGGGTTCGGCCGTCCCCTCCTCTCTGCCCACCCCGGGGGTCCCCAGCGCTGCCCGGTGCCGTGGGTTCGGTCGGTGGCAGCGGGACGCGCGTCCCCTCCCCGCGTGCTTTCACCAGCCTGGCACAGGGCGCAGCGCGGCTCTTATCTCACCGGGGCAGCACGGAGCGTCCTGCCCGGGAGAGCCGGGGGCTGAAGGGGGGGGGAGGCATGGCACCCTCCTGGGGGGGGCCACCGAGCTCCCCCACTCCATCCCTCACAGCCCGAATGTACCCCCTCCTGCCCGCAAACCCAGGCACCCTCAGGGGGTTTCCCTGCCCCACGCACTCCCCACTCTGTGCGTCTCCCCCCCCTCCCCCCAGCGCCCTGCGGCCGCTTTTCATCTGGGCCATTAAGATTTTTATTTATTATTTTTTTTTTTTCCGTGATCCAATTCATTTATTTATTTATTTCGTTCCACGGCCCAGAGCTGGAAACAATGGGCTGCGCTGATGCTGGCGCCGGGGTTGGAGGGGGGGGGGGGAAAGGGGGGGAGAGCTGCTCCCAGGTCCCTTGTCCGCTGCCCCATATCCCCATTGGTTGCTGGGATGCACCCGAGGTCCGCATCGCCCTGGGGTCAACGGAGGTGGCTTTAGGCGGCGCGCAGTGGGTGATTCCCATCTGCCGGCGGCTCCTCCAAGTTTGGGAAGGAGGAATCACCGCGTTGCAAACCCTGGCGAGCGTGGAGCAGGTGTGACGCTGTGTGCCGGGGATTTGTTCTTTGTTCCACAGGGACCCTCGCGTCCCCGAGACCCACCCCTGCAGCACTGCACCCAATGCAGGGGGCCGGGGGGGTGGGGTGTCTCCATGCGTTCCCCCCCCAACCCGCACCGCCACCGCATGGAGCTGATGGCAAACATCAAAGCTTTGTTTTCGAGCGAACCTGCATCAGCCACAGCTCTGTGCTCCGGGGGGGCTGCGGTGCCGCGGTGGCCATGGGGACAGAGCCTCGGATGCCTCCTGTCCTCAACGACGCCTCCGCCCGGCCTTGAGCGAGCCCCGGAGCGGGGACAGATGGCAGCACGGAGAGCTGCGATCGGCAGCGCTGTGCTCTGCGGCCCCACGCGCCCGCCCTGCAGGTGCCACCTGTCCCCATCCCCGTCCCATCACACGGCACAACCTGGGTGGGTCCCAGCAGGACGGCGCATCCGGCACTGTGTTTAATGAGCAACGCGTGCTGCGGGCGCGCCGAGACCGACGGGGGCGGCTGCCCCAATCGCTGGGGTCTCTGCCGGTTTGCCTGGAGCACCACAGTGTCACTCTGTCCCTGCACAGAGCAGTGCCCACAGAAGGGGTGTGCGTGTGCCCTCATAGCTCACCGTGTGTTTTAGCACCCTGTGGACACCAGGATGGAGGGGTGCCACCCTCCCTAACGCAGCCCCCATCAGCCTCGTCCCTAAGTGTGCTCCACAGCACGCTCGGCGTGGCCAAAAGAACCCCCGTATCACCACAGGGGCAGCTGAGCTCGCTGGGGGTCCCGGCCCCGTGGGGTCTCAGCCCTCCATGCGTTCTCTCTTGCAGTCTGAGTACCACTACGAGTACACAGCGTGCGACAGCGCAGGCGCACGGTGGAGGGTGGCGGTGCCGCACACGCCGGGACTCTGCACCGGGCTGCCGGACCCCGTCAAGGGCACCGAGTGCTGTAAGGTTGGGGTGTGGGGGTGGCTGGGGGGGCTTTGATGGGGTAAAGGTGACTTTTCCTAATCCTGGGAGCAACGCGATGCTGTCATTGAATGAACGCAGTGCTCAGCAGCACGGCAGCATCTCGCACGGGACGGGGTGGTGGTGGTGGGGAGGGGGTCCTGGTGGCAGGGCTGGTGGTGGGAGGGGGCAGCGCTGACGGCCCCCCCCTGCATGTGGGCAGCTTTCTCCTGCAAGGCGGGCGAGTTCCTCGACATGAAGGCGCAGGCGTGCAAGCCCTGTGCTGAGGGCACCTACTCACTGGGCACCGGCGTGCGCTTCGATGAGTGGGACGAGCTGCCCCACGGCTTCGCCAACGTCGCCTCCAACCTGGAGCTGGACGATGGCTTCAGCGATGTGGTGGAGAACTGCACCATGTGAGTGGCCCTGGGATGTCACGATGCGTCCACGCATGGAGAATCACCCATGCTCCCTCCCTGCCCATCCCTGGGAGCCTCAATGAATAAGGGGATTCCCCCCAGCAGCCCCGTGCCACGCTGCCCCAGCACCCCCTCAGCCCCATTGCAGAGGGATCTCCCACCCACAGCCCTCACCAGTGCTGCAGCACGAGCCGGCGCCTTTGTTTTGCACCGCGGCCCTTTGATCAGCTCTGGTGGCAGCCGTCGGGCCCCGCCGTGCCGGCAGCACGCGTTGCAGCGGCGGTGCAGCTTGCAAATGTAACCTACTTCCAGCTGCCTTTAATTATGCAGCTGCATTCCCGATGCTGCAGGAGCCCACCCGCCTCTCGCCCCGCTTGGTGGCATTGTGCTGGCACGGGGGTGTTCCATTGTCACCGTGCTGGGACATCCCCTGGGTCCTCCACTGCACCTGGGCTGGGTTTCTCCTGCCCCTTTTGCACAGCCCTGAACTCATTCCCTCCTCAGCATCCTGCAAGTGTAACGACAGCATCGCCCACCTGTCCCCAAGGTTCCCGTGGCGTCCCCACACCCTGTATCACATCTTGCATCCCTGTGCTGCCATCGGGACTGTCCCATCTGTCCAAACTGTCCTTTTCACAGTGTCCCACTGCAGAGGGATTCAGACCCTAAAATGCCTCAGGGCAGAGCCCATGTCCCCTCGTGTGCTCCTGTGCCACTCTGTGCCCCCACCTCAGGTCGACGTGGGTGCCGCTGGGGGACTACATTGCCTCCAACACAGACGAGTGCACAGCCACGCTGATGTACGCCGTCAGCCTGAAGCAGTCGGGCACCGTCTCCTTTGAGTACATCTACCCTGACAGCAGCATCGTCTTTGAGTTCTTTGTAAGCACGGGGTGGGGGTCCTGGGGATGCCGGAGGGGTGGCCCTGCACCGATGCTGTCCCTGTCCCCATAGGTGCAGAACGACCAGTGCCAGCCCACGGTGGAGGAGTCGCGCTGGATGCGCACCACGGAGAAGGGCTGGGAGTTCCACAGCGTGAGCACAGGGATGGGGTGGCACAGGGTGGGGGGGGTCCCTGGGGGCACCTTCAGGATCCCACACCACAGAAGGGTTCCCCACCACAGCCCTCCCTCAACCCCCCCCCCCCGGGCGATTTGTCACTGCAGCACAGGGAGCTGCACTCTGAGGGCGCAGAGGGGAGGGTGGTGGCACACAGCGGTGGGTGCTGACCCCTCCCTGAGCGCTGACCCCTCGCTGGGACCCCCCCCCCGGGCCCTGTGCCGTGCAGGTGGAGCTGAGCCGTGGTAACAACGTGCTCTACTGGAGGACCACGGCGTTCTCCGTCTGGTCCAAGGTCCCCAAGCCCGTGCTGGTGCGGAACATCGGGATCACAGGTAGGTGGGTGGGTGCAGGGTTGGGGTCCTCACAGCCCCCCCACCCCTGAGCGCCATCCTGCTGCCAGGGGTCGCCTACACCTCCGAGTGCTTCCCCTGCAAACCCGGCACCTTCGCCGCCGCCGCCGGCTCCTCCTCCTGCCAGCTGTGCCCCGCCAACAGCTTCTCCAGCAAAGGGGCCACGGCCTGCCAGCCCTGCGAGCCCACCACCTATGCAGGTGAGAAGAAAAGGAGGGGGCACCCCAACCCTGCAGCCCGGGATGGGGCCGTGGGGACATCCCTGGGTGTCACCCAGAGACCTCAGTGCCACCACCGCCCGCAGAGCCCGGCTCAGCATCCTGCAAGGTGCGCCCGCCCTGCACTGACAAGGACTATTTCTACACACACACGGCGTGCGATGCCAACGGGGAGGTAGGACCCCCCCACACACACACACCTCCAGCCCTGGCCCACTGCATTGTCCCCGTGTCCCATCCCGGTGCAGCTCACCTCCTGTCCCTGCGCAGACGCAGCTGATGTTCAAGTGGGCAGAGCCGAAGATCTGCAGCGAAGCGCTGCCCCGTGCTGCCCAACTGCCCCCCTCGGGGCTGAAGACCCGCTGCCCCCCCTGCAACCCCGGCTTCTACAAAAGCAACAGCAGTTCCTGTGAGCCCTGTCCTTACGGCTCCTATTCCAACGGCTCTGGTAAGGAGGACCCCGTTGGGAGGTGGGCACCCCGAGGTCCTTTGGGTGCCTTCCCTGATGTCCCCGCTGTCCCCAGGCTGCGTGCGCTGCCC